AACCTCTCTGAAATGTGCTCTAACTTGTTGCCATGTAACCTAATTAACTGCAAAATGTGCAGGGTGGCACAGCGAGGCAGTTAAGATTTTTCGTCCCACAGCAAGAAATCTGCAGGGTCGCCTCCCAGCCTTTGTTTTTGGAGTTTGCATACTCTCCCAGTGCATGCATGTTTTCCTCTGGGTGCTCTGGTTTCCTCCCACAGACCAAAATCATTCACGTTAGGCTGATTGGTAACTCTAAATTCTCCCTAGGTGTGAGTGAGAGAGTGAATGGTTGTTTGTCTCGTTTGTGTCTCTGATGGACTGGAGACCTGTCCAGGGTGTTCCCTGCTTCTCACACAGTGGCTGCTGGAAATAGACACCAGCTTCCTGCAACCTGGATAGGGAAAAGTGGGTAAAAGAAAATACCTCTATAGTTGCAGCTGTTCCAGCTGTTTTATTTATTGTACCACCAATTTTTATAGCCTTTTGTTTCCCCATCACCACTTCTAAGAGATTTGTTGCAGCCATAAAATTCATAATTACCTTAGTTTTTTTCCTAAATATGTACAATTACTTAGTTTAAACATATATTTACTATGTTCAATTGTGAATAAAATGTGTGTTTATAAGCTCTGTAAATCATTCTGCTCTGATTTTTATATGACAACATATAGCAAGTCCCAACTTTTTCAGAATTGGGATTATAAATTAAAGTTTAAGTCACCAATGTTTAAAAAACGATGCAACAAATTGAGGCAGTGTGTTTCAAGTAATTATCAGTGAGGAAAATCATATAAACGAAACCCAGCTATGAGTTTAAACATCGTCACAGTCTTTATAGGCAGAACACGGCAGAATATTAGCTTTTAGAGATAAAGATTATAATACAGGTAACACACACTTTAAATCTGGGAATAAATTCATACATGAAAATGTTTCAAAACTTGTTAGGAGTTAGATTTTTTTTGTTTGTTTCTGTCACATCAAACGATTATAAACAGGGATGCATGCATCTTTAAATACATCAGCACTGTAAATGTGTACGCAAACTCTTTACAAGAAATAACTAAATGAAAAAGCAATTTTCACCCTAAGATTTATTCAGTGCCATGATTTTCGAAAATGAAGGCGATAATTAATTAATTTTTACAAATCTGTTTTCTCTGTGTCTATTAGTTTGGATTTCGTTGGCGGATGGAGAATGAAGTTGTGTCTGGGAAAGGTACTCCTTGCTCCTGAAATTTCTCACAGACTTTGCAAAGATATATTCTTTTTTATGAGATATTTGGGCAACAGACACACACACATGTGGACAAAACATCATTTAATTCCTTTTGCTCTTCTGCAGTGAGCGGCTAACTTTGACTTTTTGTGCTTTTTGCTGATTATATTATGTAATTTAAATTTAGGACGGTAAAATCAACTTGTCTGCAGTTCATAAGTTTGTCCACTAGATGGCGACAGATATAAAGACTGCTCAGTTGGACATAAAACTGTGAATTTATTTCCCAACAAATCTCTCTTCACAGGAAACCTTTTGATATAATTGTCCCGTTTCAGTTTGACATATCAACTTCTATCAATATGTGACAAAATATTCTGTAGGTTTCCTCCTTGTTTTGATTGTTTATGTGTTTGTTTGTCTGGCATCGGTGTCCTTGTGGCTTCCAACCTCTGGGGATGCTGCAGTCCCCATGACTCAACTCATTTAGTCCCTTTCTGTTCTGCCTGCACGTTAGAAAAAGCTGTGATGGTTACTGCTTATTATTTAACAGGAATTTCTACAGTTTGTTAAACTCTCCTTCCTTTAAACGACAGTGATAAACATTTTACCGTATTTTTCGGACTATAAGGCGCACTTAAAATCCTTTAATTTTCTCCAAAATCAGCAGTGATTTATTATAATCCAGTGCGCCATATGTATCGATTCTGGTTGTGCTCACTGACCCCGAACTGATTTTATGTGGTACAACGGAACAATGTTGAGAGTTATCGTGATTGATTTGAATAAAGTTTGACTTATCTGACTGTTTAGTTTCACTTAATGTGCCTTATAATCCAAAAAAATACGATAATAGTTTTACCAAGAAGGACATTTTGAGAGGATGAATGCTCTTTGAGCCACACACAGACACACCTGTGCACATTTTTTTGTTTAAAAGCAAGATAATTTACAAACCACTGTTTCATATGTTGTGAAATTAGGTGCCATTGTGGAGCTCTTTGAGACAAGGAAGGACTGGAGTTGTGTGTGGACCCTTGTTGGTTTCTGTAAAACTTCTCCCGTGTTTACACCACTGCAGCATCCCCATACATAAAGTGTGTCTGAGAAGGCTGACTAAGCCAATATATTGTTCCAGATTAAGACTGTAATCCTAGTCTCTGACAGTTCATCCCCCTGTTGCACTACGCTACAGGAAGTGGGATTAGATGGGTCTGATGTGCTTCACTTCAAGTGTCACTTCTTTGATTTGTGCGGAGAAATAATTCCCAGAGGAAAATCTAAAAACCGAGCGCTGACGGAGAGACTGAAGTCACTCCTGTGAAATCAATAAGAATCAGAGGCTGTAAATTATACTCTGCATTTATGTTTAGGCGTGGAGAATCTTAATATCTCTTTATAATCTTAGTCATAAAAGTGTATTAAAATACTTGGATTTAGACTTAATCGTGGATTTAGAGCATTATGGGTTTGATTTGCAGGCTCAAAAAGAGCAAAAGCAACGTTTTGTAGATAAAACCTTAACTTAAAAGATTACTTGATTATTAGTAGTTCCATGTAGATTACATGTCGTATGTCTTCTACATGTCAGACGGTCAGACTGGACTTGTGTTTACAGACACACTAGAAAAGAGTGACCTTTCCCCCGGTAATCGTCCTCTTATCGTCCCTGCTGTACGTGCCCTGCAGGTCATGCTGCCGTTAGGTCATCCTGAAAACCATCCAATAAAGTGCATCCTCAGAGCGCTGACCATGTTTTTCATGGTTTAGGTGTGAGCTGGAGTCAAGGAGTGCAATTTTTACATAAACGTTTTGTTCTCGCGTCTTTAACGTACGGGCCTTGCGTTCCTTAAAGGAATGCACGTCGCCCGCGACCTTTTGCGCCATATTTAACAAGAGAATCGTAGGCCGAGAAACAGTGGCGTTATAAGTTTTGGTTAAACCTCAACAGTGTTTTGAAATGGAGGTTCTATGGAAAGGGTTACAAACCATACTATCTTACCTGCTGCAGATAGTTCTTAAACAGTTTTAGTTGAAAGAAAAAGCAGTGTTTCCCCAATCATTATACAAGGAGGGAGTCCTGCCCTGTCAATACAACCGAGTGCGCTGCCTACCGAACTGGCCACCCCCACCTTTTGTCGACAACTACCCGCATTGACATAGCACTAAGCTAGCGGCGCACAATACAGACCTGTTGGGTAAAAAAACTAAAGAGGCAGCGCAAGTGCACTGTCTCCCTTACGCTGAACCGTTAGCACAAACAGTCAACACAGATGCATCTCTGTGCCCCCCGTCGACAAAAATCATGGAAGAGATGAGAGCCCTGCCAAGGCAAGTAGCCTAAGGGAACACTGAATAGTGTTTCATTTTGAACAGACTGGTGAGCTAACGGTTAGTCTGGTAAAAGCCGTTACTGAAGTAGATTTCTGCTCCAGTAAATCACCTCCATTCTGGAAAAATTCATCGTGGTTCATGTGGAAGTTGTTTTAAAAACCTTTACGTTGCTGTGAATTAATTGTATGGTTATAGCAGCAGCAGATCGCTGTAGCACTTCTGGTGCAGGACGGAAAACTCCCTGCAGAATGTCATAACGTTTATGGCCGAATAAACGTGTAAAGTGAGTTTGATTTTGTTGCAAAAGAGTATTTGTATAAACAGTTAATACAATTTTGAGTTTGGAATTCATAGCCTTCCCAGAAGCTCACTACAAAAGATCAGAACTGTCCCTTTAAGACATGGATTGTATACCTGAATTATTGAGCATGGACTTTGTTGTTATCCCTTTAAGAGCTCAAACTTGTAAGAAAAATGCCTTTTTTTTGGTTAATTAATTAAGTATTAAATCTGTTTCTTTGTAAGGAACTGAAGAATTCACCCCTCACAGGCATCGCTATTTACAAAACAAAACAAAAGTCCATCTTGATAACAGTTTCTAATAAATCTGTGACAAAAACATTTCACCAATCATCATTTTAATCCAAACTAGAGAAATTGCAGGAAATGCAATTTCTCTAGTTTGGCATGAGCTTAAAAAAAAAACATGCTGAAATGTAGCTGAAATGGAAGAACAAGCCAAAATTAGAAGAGGAAAACATAAAGAACACACATTTGCCGAATTGTAAGTTTAAGTAAGCATAAATGAGCACAAAAATCAGGAAATCAGCTAAAAAAAATAGAGCTTAAATTAGCCAAAGATAGCTGAAAAGTAACTGAAAATGCAGAAAGAAGCTTAAACTACCAGAAGTGTAAAGAGCTGAAAGGCGCTCCAAAAATGTGGAATTAGCTGGAAATGCTAAAATGAGCATAACAGCTAAATAGTAGCTGAAATAGCAGAAAAAGCTGAAACTTCCAAAAATAAGCTGAAATTAGCAGAAAGAAGTTAGAAGAAGCACAAAAATATCGTAGTTAGCCGAAAGTTTCTAAAAGGAGCAAGAAACATCTTAAAGAACAGCTGAAAGTAGCTGAAAAAAGTTTAAATTTGCACAAGGAAGCTGAAAGAAGCTGAACCAGAACAAAATGTGAAAGGAGCAGTAAAAGGTTGTGAACAGATCTAAAGATACGAAGGACATCAAAAGAGCTCAATTCATTTAGAAAAGGCTAAATATTTCAAAAAGCTCAAGTTGCACCAATAACAAAAGTCAGCAGGATTGTCCTGAAACAGCTGCATGATTTGATTTGTTGAAATAGCACAAAAATTGTGGAACGAGAACAATGCTGAAAAACGTACGGACTAGTTTAAAGTAGCTAGGAATAATAATAATAAATATAAACAGGATCACAACAGTGTGAATGCTTAATCACACAATAAATCACATGTCTGTTTATTAAGGCAAATCTAACACTGAGTGAAAACATGAACTGGAGCGCAGAACTTTTGTCCTCTCTTCCTGCAGGCAGAGCGAACACGTTGTGTTTTGACGTTGGTGGAGTCAGTGTAGTGAAATAGCTGCATGAGAGATTGTACAAATCTCGCTGCATTCATGAGCAGCGAGGTAACATCAGCGTCTGCTTTTCGTGGATTTTTCTCCTTCATGCACTCTCCGAGAAGAAAACCTCACAGAGACTGTATGTTTGCTTGTCCTCAATATCCCCCCATTTTCCTTTATAAAAACAAAAAAACCCTATATTTCTATTTTTATGATTGTTGGTTGACATAAAACACAATGCACTAACACAGGAATGTTCCCACAGACACTAGATTGGCATTTTACACACTTGTTTGGTGAGAGCTTGAATGTAACCGACATCCAGTTTTATGTTGCAGCCTGGATTTGTTTTCTGCTTTATGTTCGAGCAGATGTTCAGCTGTGGTGTGAGGCATGCAGCGCTTCGTTCCGGGTCATGTTTTCTTCTTCTTTTTTTTCTTGAGGTATAAATTGCACTTTAGCGTAGCTGTCAGGAAGAGGTCAGAGGACGATGGTAGCTGAAGTGTATGCTGGCCTGCTGTCAGATAAAATGAGGTGCCGCCTTGGATTATGTAACTTCCATCCATCCATTATCTTTTACCCGCTTCTTCCTTTTCGGGTCGCGGGGGGTCACTGGTACCAATCACTGTGCGAGAGGCGGGGCACACCCAAACAACCATTCAGTCTCTCACTCACACCTAGGGACAATTTAGAGTTACCAATCAGCCTAACATGCATGTTTTTGGTTTGTGGGAGGAAACCGGAGCACCTGGAGAAAACCCACGCATGCACGGAGAGAACATGCAAACTCCACCCAGAAAGGTCCCCTGACCGGGATTTGAACCAGCAACCTTCTCGCTGAGAGGCGGCAGCTCTACCAACTGAGCCACCCCTCTGCCTCCTGTTAGCAGGAGTGTGAGGCTGCTTCAAGCTCCTGTACTGATGCTATAGTTTTCATATTACTGCAGTTTACTTCATTATTGCTCACTGCTGGGTAATGGTTTTACCCAGGTGTTTGTCCGTTAGCAAAATATCTCGAACCACTGGATGGACTTTAACAAATCTCTCAGAAAGCAAACATTAGGTATACATCAA